CAATAGTGAACTCTTTAGTTAACGGCTTATTAGAAGCAAATAGACAGTGAATTAGGAGTACCAAAATGGGTTACGGAGGACTAGTTAGTAACCAGATAAATTCTGTGTTTGTTAAGAAAATTATTAATTAAGCAACAAATTAATAACGACGGCGACGTTTTTTAACAAATACGAGGATACTTTTGCATAAAGTAACAAAATTAGATATATGAATTACACGTATTGAACAGTCAAAAATAAGAACGTGTTCTTAGCATTCGATATCTTAGTTTTCTACAACTTTATTCTAATTACATTTGGTTTTTTTTTAGTTATACATTACTTTGTGTTATAATGCTAACGGATGGCAGTATTATTAAACTTTTACTTGTGTTGTTTCCGTAATCGCCATATTAGCCACCACTTCTTGTTTTTACGATGTTTAGAAAAACTTGCACAAACGAATGCTTAAATCAGACAGATATTTACTAAACAAACAATACTCCCAAATTCATTCAAGAGTTTATGTAATTCTGATAAACAATTTTAATTATACTATATAATGTGAAAATAATTAACAGACTTTGCTTTTTTGTCTTCAAGTTTACGTATTAATGAGTAAGACAATTAATAATTGCGCGCTTAATATTAAGCTATCTTGCAACATGTGACATTAATTTTTTTAAGCATGGAATTAGAGTGTGTTATGCAACCTTTAGAACACAGTTATGTATTATATTAGAACAATCGATGCAAAAAAGACAAAAAGTCTAAATAAATAAATTTTAAATTATAAAGCATTAGACTAATACGTTTGCGCTAACGGCATAAACAGTTTTACACAGCACGTAACATAACGTTTTTGTATGCGACATTTCTGGAAGCTGAGAAAATGTTTTTTATAAGTACATAGAAGTTGCGTCAATATACGCAAGCACACGCAAATTAGGTTTCCAAGGAAAATTTTCTAAGACTATGACTAACTATAGACTTTAATCTATAGTAATAGGACTAATATATTTAAAAACAATATATATTGAGCTGTAATGGGGTATGGCAGAATGGTACATATTTAATAAATTTTTGGTTAACTTTATTTTTAATGCGACGTTATCAACAATTTACGTAAAAGAATTTTAATAACATTGTTTTATAATAGTACATCTAATCTATTATTCATTAAAATTGAGCACATTGTCATTTTTTTTCTTTAACATTACGTGTACGGTTTAATACTTAAAATTAGTGTAAACATCATTGAATAATTTGGCTATGACAACAGTTTACATTACTGGCGGAGTAATAATTCCGAACGTAAACGCTATTGTTCGTGGTCGGAATATCCGTTATGCACAACTTATCATGTGTTCCTTATGCTTGTACAATGTACCGCATATGTGTGTAACATTCGAAATGCGATTAGAATTTAAAGAGAATATATTTTACAAAGTTTCATTATTTAAACAACACTTCTACATAGAAATTGCGTAACAATTCGATAGATCGTAAATATATAAACACGTCCTTTAGAGGTGAAAGTGATGGGAAAAAAATGGCGACTCCAATTAATCAACAACCAACTCTAAACCAGGCTTATTCTAGTACAGAACTGTTCACCACTTGTTCGGCAATGCGGTTTATTGACAATCTTACTCTGACTGAACAAGAACTTTTTCGTAACCCCCCATGCACTCTTACCATGCCTATTGACAATATTCTCAATCACAGAAGCAAAAAATGTAGAAACGGCAGTGAAAAAAAACACCCAAGACCTCTCAACTCGTATATTTTGTTTCGTAGAAATTTGGAAAATCAAATACGCACTCAAAATCCTGGCAGAAAACATACTCTCAAAGAAATTTCCAAAATTGCGGGCAAAAGTTGGAAAACTCAACCAGACAAAGTCAAACGCTATTTCCACGTTCTTGCGAAACTGTCTTCATACAGACACAAGGCTGTGTATCCAGACTATACGTACAATCCGCTGCGAAGATTTAAAAATGGTGACAATTTTTTATTTAAGCACACAGACAGAGAACGACTTGCGAAACGTTACAACAAAAATAAGAGTTTATCCAAGAAGGTTAAAACAAGCAGTATGAACGATACTGATACTAGTACAAATGAAAGCTTTCAGAAAAATGAACATGTTAACGAGCAACCGTCTACCTTACTGGCACCAAGTTCTGCCGTTGACTTTTCTCATGACGAGAGCTTTTCGCCTTACTTGCCTTTATACGAGTTTTCCGATAATTTTGGGGTACCCGCTCTTTTCACTCAAACGCCTATTTATTTATCCGTACCTTTCCCATATTTTACTCAAAGTTTTCCAACTTTCTCTCCTCAATGTTTCTTCGAAAATGACATTGACGATATAAATGCTACCGAGCAGATAATTAATCCGGAATATGAAATTTGAACATTATTCTGTCAAATATATTTAAACATCTTCAAATTACACATTCAATATCTTCGGTAACAAAGGGTTCCACATACGGTAACGGCAACTTACTCAAATGCAACAAATAACGAGAAACTGTTTCTTCATAATTGATATAAGGAAGAAACAAGACATATCATCAAGCTTCTGTGTTAGATAAAGTTTTAGGAAGCTGACCTGTTGTTAAATAGAATTGTATGTAACTACATAGTTTCAAGTTCTATGTTATAAGCGAAATGAAAATACTTATAATAATGTTACAGAAATATCAGATTACTTTAACACAAGTTTGGACGTACGTCCGTTTAGTTTCTTCTATTTGTAATATTTACGTATAATGTTAGATCATCGGCGCACGACATATAAAGCGGCAGAACTATTAGACAAATTATCTGTAATTGGAATTTTGACTGGTTTTTGGTAAAATTATAAAATTTAAATTTGTAATATCAGGGAAAAGGTTGCTTAATCCAGGATTTTACAATATTTTAGAAACAAAATAACTTAGTTTTTTTTTTCCATTATTACAACATTGTTGGTAATCCTGTTTGACTTATTCGGTTTGATAAAGTCTTCAATCCAGAGCTCTTGGCGCTTATTCGGCATACAAACTCTCGTATGTGCGCCGTTGTACTGAACACAGAACTGTTGGTTAATTATAAGTGATACATGCTTAAACTAAAGTATATCGATGCGATGCCGATGACAATGATTTGAATTTTTGTCAACTAAACTGTGTTGTCGCACAACTAACGCCTTTTATTCGTTCGCTATTTCAACCAGTCTTTTCAACATATGATGTGATTGTTTTTGTAGATTGTAATTCTGCATATATGGCTCTATATAGTTCTATACGTACATCTTAGACGTGCATTAGCTTTTTGTTTAAACTGCTGGATTAAGCGTTCCAACAGCCTGTTGTATTCGAATGTTCAAACAAGTCGATTCTACTTGTTCTTTTACTGCAATGTTAGATTCCATATCAGCAAAGACAAAGATAAAACGGAAAAATAATGTTGAAAATCGGGAAAATTAGATTGGAATAAAAACACAACAACTCATTCAAAAGTTGTACAGTATAATTTGTGTGCAATAACTGCGACTTTGGCCAACAAGTAACTATACTAAAGGTAAGTATATGTATATTGTTTAGAAAACGCCAAGCATATTTGTATAAAGACATTCTGCAAGCTTGCGTAAAAAAGTAAGGGTTCGCATCACATGAGTCGGAAGAATTTCTATTTGTATTACACAACAATTTGGTGGCGATTTAATTATAGTAACAGTCATTTATAAAAACTATTTCCGACGCTTTATGACGTACTTTCAGATGTCGTCAATGATAATAATTGAGTATCTCGTAATCAATAGTTTTATCATTATTGTTGTTACCATAAAAGCAGTTGAGGAAATTGTCGGAATTGATGAAATTGTTTAATGTGATTTATATTGTATTACTTGTATTCTGTGACAACAATCGTGTTGGAAAGGAGGATATACGCCTGTGTGTATGTCTTAAACGATTGATGTAAATGCTCGTTATGCATAATGTTGCGTTCGTACTACTAAGGCGAGTCTAGACGCGTTTAGTACATAACATATAATATTAATTCGGAAGTATATTCATCAGTTCTTCCGATTGCTCTCTGCCTGTAAATATTTGTTACCCCTTCGGCTAGTTACAATACGTAGTACTAGCTATTGTTAGAATAAGTAATCTATCTTTAACTGTATTGCCTAATTTGCGAAGAACATGAACAGGTTTAAAAGCGCTATTTTCACTTTCGTACTATTTTGTGAATCTATTATTAGCCAGTATCTGAGTTTCAACAGAATAATCGTTGTATTTAACTTGAGCATAATAAAGCCATAAATCCAAAAATAAGTTTTGTTGGCCGTAATTAGTGCGTACAACTTTCTATAAGAATATTCTTTTATTATAATGTCGACTTGACTGTTACATGCAGCTTCAATCTTTCTGAGCATGCTTTAATAAAGATTTGTATTTAAAAAGTTTAGATTAAATAAAGGAAAAATATGTAACGAGTGTTCGAACTTTTGTCATCAATATGATAATGGTCAATCTTTGATCTGAACATTTTGTTATCCTTATACATGCCATTGGGTTACACGCACATTAGTTCGATCGCATAACCCTCATCATTAGTATTCAAACTTTGCATGTACCGTTCAACTGTAAAAATTTGGTTTATTAGACAATTTGTAAGATATTATTATTGTCTAAGTATCTAATAAAAAGTCAGAGCAAACACAAAATTATAACGGCAGAAATATCATTGGTAGATAGCTAGAGTGACCATGTATCTGTAAGTAGTACGCATACGCCGATTACTAAAATATAACAGCGTTCTGATTGTGCACCGCTAACAAGTGCACCGTTCAAGTTTGTCTTACAGAAACCGCTTTTGCCGTAACTATTTTCGTCTCTGCCCGACTTGTTGACCTACGCCTTTGACATAAGATTATAATTTAAAAATACAATATACAAAAGATCTAAACAAAGTTGTTGATACTACAGTGAGTTAAAAATAAATGTCAAATTAAATAATTTTATTTATGCAATTGATAATGGAAAAGGCTAGCGACGAAAAGTTTTTAAAATTAGCAAACTTTTAAATGAACAACAAACTTTCCAAGTTTTAAATAATCGTATTACATCTACGGGTCAATAATCAATGCAAAAGTTAAATATGTTGTTTACAATCACAGAGAATAAATCGTTCAACAGTTTATTGTCAAACCGATTCTGGTCTACTGTCAATGTACACACGACACAGTGTACATTTTTGACGTAAGGATGTAACATCGATATAAATGTTCCACAAAACTTTGTAAAACGAGCACTATGGAAAATTACCTAATGGGTGATTGCACATACGGGTCAACCTAATTAAGACCGCGACATGCAGATGTGCTAATTTTACACAACGCCCGCCACTGCTCATAGAATAGTTTCTATTTATATCCAACGTATTTTAGTTAAACAATTGTGCTTATCTACTTATTCACACGCTTGCAGCATTACACAAGTGCATTTAGAAAAATTTGAGCGATCGTGTAAAGTCTTAATCAATCGTTGACAAAGTAAACCAAACTTTTGAATAGATACTCTTAAAACTTTTTGATAAATACTTTTAGAGAGATTTGTTGTAATCATAAGAGATTGAAACAGCAGACGTCTTGTGATCGATATTAAAAGTTTGACTTTTAAAAAAAAACCAAATTTCGTGGTGCATAGATTTGATTTAATCGGGAAATCACTCCGTTTACTGTTCGTTGCACATTGATCTATTAGTTTGATTAGACAATGTTCATGTGTAGTAATTCTTTGTTGTACACGATGGACTTCCCTTAACTCAAAATAGTAAATTCATACTAGTAATGCATTTGTCTCGCCTACCTGGTTGTCTATTTTTAACTTTTGCATATCGGACGATGACATTCTCGTTTCCACAGCTATATAAACGGGGAATTCAAGCTCTCATTACTCCCAACTCAGAACGAGTCGGATGAGGTTTCAGCAATAATATAATAATACAGTTTAATTTCTTGAGCTTATTCGACACAACCAATCAAAATGTCTTTCTAGATTGTCTTTCTTGTTGTAATTTCAACCTCAGCCACGGCCGCTGGACTTGGAAAATTTAATAGAAGCGAAGGCTAAAGCGTTTTCAAAATCCGCCGTATTCTCTTTCTCAATGTCATGTCCAAAATGGCGAAACAGCGGCAATCGTTGGACATCTATATAGGAAGAGCAAAGCGATGGGACAAGCAACCAATGCTCCGAATGAACCCAAAATAAATATTCCCGAACCTAATTTTATAACCTTCCAATGTTATCAGGAAAATAGCTACAACCCGAGGCCGAGGAAATTCAAGAATGGTGAAAGCATACTATTATAATTTGCCGTTGTGTGGATTTATGGGTACAATTCTATTAACAACATACGAGGAACAATCGGAATTTCCCTCCATAAACTGTTCGTTTAGAGGGAATCAAAGCTCCTTTTTATATGACTAATTTGAATCAAATTACGTAAGACAATGAATTTTTTAGCCGATTAGTAGCTTGTGTACTAAATAAAAAGTTTGAGAAACGTTTTGTCGATTATAAGTATAATGACTTACAAATAGAATAAGAAAAGTTTTGGCCAGAACTCTAACCTTCAGTACTTGTCCCGTAAACTATTTTTTTTTGTCGTTCAAACAAGTAATCGGAGAAGCAAGAATCTGTCAGTTGTCTTATTGATCACGGAACATTTGTTCCGGAAAAATACCAATTGCTGCGGTAATTACGCCACGTTACTATTTTCTACTCGTACAAAAGCACGCATAAAGCAAAATAATGGGCAAAAATATTGATCAAAACGCTCGATATAAGTAAAAGTTTATCACAAAAATCGATTTATTGTTGAGTTTATGCTACTTTGAGAAACAGGTTACTTGACTGTAACCGTTAAATAGCAGTAGTAACGTAAACAAGCATAAAAAATAGATACAGTGTTTTTCCAGTCTGATTGTTAGAAATTTACCCAATCGAAATTGTTGACATCGATCAAGTTTTTTTTTTTGCTATCGTCTAATAAAATACGGTTCTTGATGCATCTGCATTGTGTCATTTGCTTGTGTAAGCGTCGTACGATCAATAAGTGATACATACTGCCAAGCAATTTGAGGCAAACTCAATAAGTCCGACACTCAATAAGTCGGACACTCGATAAGTCGGATACTCGATAGTCGGACACTCGATAAGTCGGATTTGGCTTAAGCCGGACAAAACTCTCAGCCCCCCTTTTTTTATATTTAAAATTTCTCGATAAGTCGGACGACATATATAAATTTTCGTTAAGTTGTAAACAGGACTAGTAAATGACTCGCCGGATTCACGTGATTAAACAGAAATGTATAGGAGAGGTTGTCCAACACATTTCGTCATCTTGTGTATCGTAAACATTAGTATGTCATGTCATGTTACTTACCGATCATTACAAGAAGATCGTCATTGATGGTTGGTTTATTATTTTGTTTAACGATTCATTAAGACATAATTGCGACAGTTCAACATGCACCTTCAGATGATACAACCGAAAAGTATGTGAGTCCATTGCACTGATATCTAATAAAATTGCACTAAAAGCATTCAAATTTTATGTAATTATTTGGAACAGAATAAGAACATAGAAGTAATAGTCAATTCGTCTCGGGGTTAAGAGGTTTAAAACGAAAAATTAACAGCTAAAGATATAACTGTCAGCAAAAAATCAGTAATCTATACTCATTCAGTAGAGAGTTGCGAATATTCGTTTAACAAGTCGTTATGCGTAACGGCTAATACAATCATAATAGCATAATTGCTAACTGTACATGCTCATAATAAAGCGATAATTAGTTGTGTCGTGGTTGACGTATCAACAACTTTTCAGAATTATTACGAGTTTATCAGACGTAAACTCTGCATATAGTTACCAAGCTGCTATTGTTAGCTTAATTAATAGCTTACATTTCTGCGCTATATAACAATAAGTAAATTACAAAAACGCTTTACAAATTAGTCCAGAAAGAATAACGTAAAGGGTACGGCGTGTATAGACAAATTAATCGGTGAATGCTTTTAAATTATTGGTTAAGTGTATTTCTTCTCTTCGCTTATCTTATAGACTCGATATTATTTTACTATTATCAACTAGACCGCATAATCAATTGGTTAGATTGAGCAGTATAATAAAAAACAAATTTATAGAACTATGTGAAAAGACGGCCACGTACAACGTTTATAATTAGATGTCCGGCTGACCCGCAAGTTAGCAATTATGAAGCTTGCTTGGGAAGTCAATTTGTGTGATGGAGAAAATTTAGTATAACTGTGTGTATAATTGTTGAACGAATAACATTACTTAATGCTTATTGGTGAACAGTACGATGTAACACCATTTTTCACTCGCTCGAAAAATGTTTATTCAAACCATGGAGTAACTTATTCGTCGTAATATGCTAACTAAACTTAAACGCATTCTAACGCGCGCTTAGTCATTGCAAAATCAAGTCAACTAGTTGACTAATGGGTAGGATAATACTGTATCATGTTAAAATTTTTATTTGATACTTTCTTCTGGGAAGAATTTTTTATCATGTAACAACTCAACTATACGACTATGTTATGGATTTCTGGTGCAACCGGATGCTTTGTCAGGATAAACTTTTATCGAATCAACCTCTAATACTAACTGCTTGACAGTATTTTCTAATTTTTTTTTCTTTTATGAACTTGGGCTTTTCTGTCGCTGAAAAATAATTTACCAGAGCATTAAATACATAATAATGCCGATTGAGAAAAATTGCATACGAATGGGTTGTTCCGGTTACATTACATCGCCGGTGCCAAAATAAAACACAGGAAACAATAACTTGATTTGGTTAAATCGTTTTTTGTGCTATGCAAACTATATATTTACCATGCAAAATTACAATAATTCCATACATAACACAAAATATTACCTAGCTAAGTTGTAACGCCTTCCAAGCACTTTAATTTTAATCTCCATGTCAAATTGTTAATATTTTATCCAAATAGGCAAAAAGGCTAACCATTACTTAGCATATCGCATAACAATCGTTTATTTTTGTTTCTGGGTCTTGTGTGACTTTATAAAATCAACGAAAGTATATGCATTTAGCTTCCTAACTGCTAACAAATAAATGCAGAGCCAATTAATATTGATTTAAGTTATTACTACTTTGCTTCGGAAATAAATAATTCCGGCGGGGCGCTTGTCAAATTTTCTAAACCAATTAGTGCGGTCTGTTGGCGCTGTAGCCTAAATACTTAACAGTGAAGCTGATTTTTTGAATATGCTCATATTACATGTACGTCATAATAAAGTAGACAGTCCTTGTAAATGTAGTCTCGTATTAAGATTGTGGGTAAGCTCTAAAGCTTTGCTATCGGGAGAAAGGCTATAACTTATTAACTCGTAACCCTCGCCTCGGCTGTGTGGCGGGGGCGTAGCCACTCCACTCCAAAGTGGAGTTACGCCCCCGCCACACAGCAACCGCCACAGTTTTTTGTACAATTAGCGTTTTTTGTACAATTCGCGTCCATTTTGTCTGCCTCAACTAATAGTACTGCTGATTCACAGTTTGATATCAACGTTTTCTATCGTGAAGAAGATATACTCCTCTCTCTGCAACTGTAGTTAGCTATTTGAGTAGATAATACAATTACCGCAACAACTCCAATGAATTTACAAAATGTAAGCAACTATCAACGACAAAATTAAATCTGACATTTTTAACAAGAGTATTAACTAAAATGTCTTGATCTTGTTCATTAATTTATAGATATTAATCCATGACGTATATCTATATGTAATTGAATAGTAAAAAATAAACATGCTTTTGTACAATACCTAACATCATATAGGCAACAATTTTCATGATAGAAACACATTCAACATGTGGCCACTGAAGCAAAATGTCGAACTATACTTAAAACCATAAACCTTAAATCTTCAAAATAGTACGTTTATAAACATTGATATAACACGTTTGTTAAGCCCGGTGAGCAAATATAGAAAAATATTTCAATTAGACAGTCCTTTTTTGTTTTTCATTATAATTGTCGGGAAACTGATCCTCTGCTGGTTTAATTTTCGATCTAACATGCTCAATTCCGAGTCCACACATATTCTTCTTCTCTGACATATAGAAAAACACTCGGTGGCTGTTCAACACGTTGCGGTTCAATAATTGGCTGTTGGTCTATGATTGGTGTTGCTACTATATACGTCTGTGGTTCTGCAACTGAGCTCGTCGTTTGCTTTTGCTTCGTGCAAGCTACGAAGACCAATATTATTCCAATGATTACTAAACTGACGCCGATGCCGATACCTATCGTAAAAACAGGCTCGTAATTGCATTTATTAATACAATCAGAATACAAGAAGGTCGAACCAAATAAGGTGAGCAAACAGTTTCCTTCACAATTTCTACGTAATAAATTTGATATTCCCAATAATATAGCGCCGAGCATAATTAGTAGCGATGCAAATACGAACAAGGTTTTCGTAGCCATACTGATAACCGCCGCGGCTGCAGTTGTAATTCCAAATTACTGTCTGGGTCAACGGAGTATATTCTCGAATTATTTGGGTCGCCTGCGACAATCGAGTTTTGTAGCGTTGTAGAGTTGTTGTATGTTTTATCGATAAATAAAGGAAAGTGGACTATTGTAGAGTCGTTGTAAAGTGAGAATGTTTTACGACACACACACGTAAATGATTTATATTATGTTTCCTGGTAAATATTCTGCGTCATATACTCTGTGTGTGGGTGGATGCGTGTGTGTGGGTGTGTGTGTGGGTAGATGTGTGTGTGCGTGTATGTGTGTGGGTGGGTGGATGTGTGGGTGGGTGGATGTGTGTGTGGGTGGGTGAGCTTGTAAGAATGAAATTCGCTAAAGTTAAAATAATGGATAAAAAACTACTCATGTTTGTGCGATGCTGTCATATGCGGGGCTCCCCAAAATGGGCCGATTACGGGCATGCCGGAAAAAGGTCCAAATTAAGTAGCACACACATACGAAACCTGTTGTTACTAATCCATTGTTATAATTAATTTGGTTAACAAAAGCATACGTTCTTAATAATGTTGTTTATAATTTTTGAGAATTTGCTACGAGAAGTAAGCTTTATTTAAGAAAGTTCCGTTGTAAACACATCTATGTTTATGTTTGTAAAAAAAAAGTTCGTCGAGAAGAATTATGCTTAAATGCTGAATCATATTGTTCGCAAAATTAAACCGAAAAACACAATTAACAGTGTAAATAGTTTGTTGAACAGTGTAATGCAAGGTATTGAAGAAACTAGATCGGAGATTTTGTATGGGGGTCAGATGAAGAAAGCCAAAATATAGATACTGTACATCCATGTCTACTGCATTTAGTTAGCTACATCTGAGAAAAGTAACGTAACGCAGCTCCATGTAGATTGTGTGGCGCTCGTCAACCATTTTTTAAACTCATCAGAACATGTAATTTTTACTGTCAAGTGGGTGAGCATTTTTCTGTTTATACTGCTCGCGCGCTTATTATGTTCAGAGAAACAAAACTAAACTATTAGACATCTTTTCGATATATCTTTTTCCGAAATACACATCTCACAACTCAATAAAAATTGCGGTTTGCCAATCTAATTTCGATAATCGTTTATATACTAAAAAAATATAATATTTTTCTCGTTTATCTTCACAACCAGCTCAGGCCGATCGGCATAGTACAAATTTTTGCTGAATGTTGAACTTTAATAGGCTCAAACGAGAATGCTCCAAGTAATTTCTTACAACAAGCCAAACTTATCCGAACCTGATACCACTTATGATTGTTCTTGCGTCGTAATCTAACAATTTTTATTTGGTTTCTTATCATTTTTACTTTGCGTTTACTCGAACAAGTGAACGGCTTTTGATTAATCAACTAGCAACGTAACCACAAGCAGCGCACACTTCTGAAGATAATATTGTTACTCGATAAAAAAATATTACGAAAATGCTCATTATTCTCGTTTAGCCAACATACATGACCAGTCTAAATAATAATGTTTGAATAATTTATGCTTTTTTTTTTCATTATAATTTAATATTATATCAATGTCGTATGATAAACCACATGAGTAGCGGCGCAGTTTTTCCAAATTAAATACATAACCCCGGATCTAACCATGACTAATTCAATTTGGTTACACCACAATATACGCCATTCAAAAACTCCTATAAACGAGCTAATGTTGTAACCTAATCATCGCACGATATCTATTTCTTTTCCATCCACAATACTGCGGACATGTTAAATGTCTGCTGTTCTCCATCATTATACGCTATACCTTATCTGATTAAAAATGCATCAAATAAAATTAACTTGCCAGTTTGATTTTCCTTTTTCTTCCTAACAATGCCTCTCACGCAGATTTCTTTATCGAGAACTGAGCTTGTGATTACATTTTCTTGTAAGGCATTATGTTCTAATCAAGAAAGTTTAAGGAGTAAAGTCAGTGTATTAATAACTACCGTATTCTTCCGAAAATAATCAACACTTTTTTGTTATAGTATTGCTTGTTTTCGGGTAGTTTAATAAAATGAAAGAAATTCCCACTGAATTATGTGATTTCTGTCGATAATACCACTAACTATCATTGACATCATTGATGAGACGGATTAATCATTTTTTTTATTGTAATAACAATAATAAAATAAAATAACTAATTGAATACATTTATAAAGGTAAATTATTTATTCTGAAGTGTTGCTTATTTTCGGAAGAATACGGTATATATTTGTCAATTAAGTTTTATATAATAAAGTATTGTAAGTTCCCTCGGAAGGCAATACTTTGGCATTTTGAGCATCAACACCCGTTCCCAAGTAGATTGAAAGCATATTTACTATCGAGCGATCAACGGGATCGAATCATTATAGTCTGATTGGTCGAATCTAAATTTTCCGCTTTCAATCGTAATTCGAACTTATAAATAATAGAACCTTTATTGTTATTACCGAGTTTGTTAAAAATAAACATGTTTTGCCTGTAAAATGCGTTATTTCTGAATGAGTTATAAAGGCATTATATATAATAGTAATAGCTTAATTATTTATTTTTTATTTTGGAAATAGAGTAATTTTTAATAATTCAATGGGTTCGAATTTGTGAAGAATTTAGATTCGACCAATCAGACTATAGTGATTCGATCCCGTTGATCGCTCGATAGTAAATATGCTTTCAATCCACTTGGGAACGGGTGTTGATGCTCAAAATGCCAAGATATTTGCCTTCCGAGGGAACTTACAATACTTTATTATATAAAACTTTATTAAAAAATATATAGTTTTATTAATACACTGACTTTACTCAAACTTTCTCGATTAGAACATAACGCCTTACAAGGAAATGTAATCGCAAGCTCAGTTTTCGATAAAGAAATCTGCGTGAGAGACACAACAGGCGACACAAATGTCATAGTTGTCATGGGACTGCCGTTTTTGAATTTGCCCAATAAAATACGATGGCTTGTTTGGCTCATAGTCACGGGTCTGCCGAATTTTTTCGGCACCACTAGTATTGCACAACGTTGTAGTAGAGATATGTTGATTAAATAATTTTTGAGCAATTTAAATTAGCCAATATTGCCTCGTGTTGGTATTGTTGGTATTTTTAGGTAGCCAACAATACAATTACGACAATTAATGCAATATACGTGGATCGAAACATGCAACTTTGACAAGTTTGAGTCTCTGACAATTTAACTAAAATGTCTTAAATTAATTTAGTTAATATATAGTATCAAAATTTATAGTGTACCATGCAACAAATGTTCAGCAATGAACATGTCTTTTGCAAAACATGTAGCTTTACTTCACTTTAGCGCACAAAACTTATAGTTAAAGGACAGTTCTTAATGATAGAAATGTTTTATTAAGATTTTAGAACACGTTCCATAAACTTGACATGTAGTAAAACTGAAACAGAATGCCAAACACATTCAGATACTATATCAAAAGGCATTTACACACAAAAAACAAACTTATAAACGTAAATATACTTGTTTAGTAGTAACAAACAACAAGATATTCTTTTTCTAGACTGAATGCATGTAGACAATTGATTTGTATTATTAAAAAAAAATATTGTTGAGTCTTATCTTTTGCTGGTTCATTCCAGAGCTGACATTTCAAGTAAAAATCACAACTGGATCAATGACAACCGTTACAGTTGCTGGCGAATTTGCCGTTTTCCATTCGTCACGCATGCAAGCTATTAGAACTCCTATTAACATTATTATTTCAATAATCAGTAAAGCGATGCCGATACATATCGTGGTAATATATGTGCTTTTGCAGTCTTCAGTGCATTGTACAGTGTCGCCATTTGACTGCTGCTTACAACCATGGCCTTGATGATCCCAAAATTGCACAACCGCTCATAATAAGCAACCGTCCGTCTTAGCGCAATTGCGTTTAGTTCGAGTCCAGAGCACTATTCGGGCCAACACGTACAGTCAAATCTGGCTATAACGAACTTTGGTTATAACGAAGATCTGTTTATAACGAAGATTTTCTCCAAGCAATTATAAATAGTCATAATCTTAACTATAAAAAGTGACCTTCGTTATAAGGATGGTGATAAAGAATATTTTCTCTGGTCCCGTAGGAATTCGTTATAACCAGCTTTGACTGTAAATATTTTTAAATTTATAGCGGTGGGTGTGTGTGTGTTATATCAATAGATAAAAAAAATAAAATTTTTACGGCAAGTAAAGTCTATGTTTATTGCATATTTATGTGTATGAATGAGTATACATAAGCTCGTATAATGGAAAAAAGATAATGGCTGGCCAGCTTATTGACAACGAATAGAATGTAAGAAAAATTGCGCATGCTATTTTCAATGCCGTCATATGTTGAGTTATTCCAAACCTGTGCTCATAGATATTAGGCAAAGTACAAAATTTTGATACGAAACAATATCCGCCATAAACACTTGTTAGACTATGCAAGTAACCCATTTATTGTTGAAATTAATTTGAACAATAAACGCACGAAATTTAACCGTTTGAAGAATTTGTTACGAGAAGCTAGCCTTGTTTAAAGAGATTTACATAATATTTGCCAAAAAAGTGTTCATCAAAGAAAAATCCGAAACAATGTTATTCGATAAAAAGACTTGCGCCAAGACACATTTAAAAAAGCGTAAACAAAAAAGCCAAGCCAGAGATCTTGTATAGAGTCATGAAGAAAACAAAATTATAACTACAGATATTTAATCATAAACAGTTTATATGCTCCACAACTCAGCAAAATGACGGTTTGCCCGATGGTAACTTGCATCGATACCTGCATATATTAAACATGTTCCTCATATGCAAAAGAACATACCTCTCTCCCGTTGCCTTCATACAAGCTTGCGCCGGTCTGCAAATGCCCAACTCGTTTGTCGGAATCGATGCCCGACCAACAAACATAACGGACTGTGATTGGACGTGAAATTGGGTGTGGATTCTGATGTTGATTCAGGACCGTCTCAGCCAAACTATAGACATATTAGGATTGGAATAGTAATACAATTAGTCAACAGCACTATAAAAGTGTTACGACATCAACTCTGTTTGCGTATAAACAATTGGTTTGCCTAAACATACGCTATTTAACGTAATCTAAATATAAGTTGTATTATTACTTGTATCTTGCATACTTATGATGACGTCTTACATTGTAAATGTACACATTGCACCGTGTACGTGCGTGCATGTATGTGATGATGTTTCAATTAATAATCTGCGAAATGCACTCACTTGAATATAAAAATAAATAATTTAGATTATAATACCATATCGTTTAAATTTTTTCAATGAGTGTTACAAACGTTTGTTAATGACGCAGATAGTTGTAATGTTATAAATGCTCTTTGTCATGCTTTTTTGAATAAACGTACGTATAAGCAAACTCAAAAGTTACATATTACACCAATATTTTACAGAAACGTAGCTCAATACAAGCGCAAACTATAGCTAAAATTTTATGCCTAATTGATGAAAAATTAAAAAAGTGGTCAGAGACTTTTGAGTACACAATTTGCCAGATCAAAAATCGAGCAATCTAGTATTACTTCAACAGCAACTTTGAATCTAATTTTTTTTAATAGAATATTGACTAAACATGTCTTTGTTTAATTAATTAACTAACAGTATAGACATGATGCAAAACTATGGTAACCAAATACTCAACACTTTTGTATAACTACCAAATACCATAACTTTAGTGTGCTCATAATAATAACGTATGGTTGAAGGACAGATCTTAGTAATAAAATGCTTTTATTAAAATTTTAAACCATATTTTATAATTTGACATGGTAAGACTGAAACAGAATGCTGACCGTATTCGCCCGTATATCATAAAATTAAAAAAAAGTTTATAGCTCAAAACTACGCTTATAAACGTTGATATGGTTGTTAAGACAAATAAGCAAATTCAAAGGAGACGTCTCTATCTTGACTAAATGAGACAGTCTATTTATTTGTAATTATATTTGTCGAAAACTTATCCTCTGCTGGTTTAATTTCCAATCTGACATTCTCAATTCTGAGTAAACACATATCGATATTTTTTTTCGATAGATATGATAACAGCCGGTGGCCGTTGCGGTTCAATAATTGGCTGTGGGTTAATGACTGGTAATGCTGTATCCGTACGACTTTTCCAGCCTTGATTGTACGACGTGCAAGCTACAAAGAGCAATATTGGTCCAATGACCACTAAACCAATGCCGACGCTTATCGTAACAACAAGCTTATTTTTGCATTTATTAATGCAATTAGAATAATCATCATACGGCGGCGAATTTTCAAATGAGGTGAGCAGATCCATGTCACAGTTCTCGACACATTTTGTATATAATGACTTTGATATTCCCAACAATATACCGCCGACTATAACAAGTAAGGCTGCAAAAAATGCGATACAATCTTTCGTACTCATACTGATAACCGCCGCGGCCGCAACTGTGTCTAGTTTAAATTTGGATTATTGTCTGCGAAAGTCGAGTCTTGTAGCGTTGTAGAGCTGTTGTATGTTCTATGGATGGATAAAAAACAGTGAAATGTTGTTGAGTCGAATGTTCTATTGATGGATAAAAAAAAGCAGAAATATTTTTTACGACACACACGTAAATTGGTTTATATTATGTTTCTTAAATAAACATTCAGCGTCATATATACTGTATGTATGTGTGTGTGTGTGTGTGTGTGTGTGTGTGTGTGTGTGCGTAGGTGAGCTTGTAAATGATGAGAATTTGTTAAAGTCAAACTAATGGTTGCCTAACTGATGGACCAAGGAATAAAATAGATGAAAACTACGCATTTTTTTATTGTAATGCCGTCATACGTTGGGTTACTCCAGATGACCGATTACGCATGCCAAATTGAGTAGCACACACGTTTTAAAGATAACGAAACCTGTCATAAAACTTGTTTGTTAAAATTAATTTGTTACACAAAAAGCATACTTAACTTACTTATTCGGCGCTTTCTATTGTAATATTTTCAGACATTGCTTTGAAAAAAATACTATTGGTTGATTCCTTTTCTTGGCGTTTTTTGATATACATACAATAGATCTCAAAATGCTTTAAAGTATCAGTGTTGACTGTGAACCAATCACAATCTCACGCTTCAAAGAATAACTCAAACTGCCGCCGTGCCATTGCCAGGTAACATAGTGAAATGTCACTACTTTCTTATCAAAATAATTGTAATTATTATTTGCTCTATCTAGTTTGTTTCGAGCAATGTCTTATCCAACAAACGTTGCTGTACTTTAAATAAGCGTGTACAAGTACCATGTTCCTCAAAATCTACGAGATTTTGTTCCATCGGTTTATGCCTGATTTAGTGCTATAGTAGTAGACATTTACTCAAAATGGTGTATATTTACCATTAATATATCCCAGTACGTCACGAGAAATTATCCCCCCAGAAATTGGAAAGTTCAGTAGTAGTGAGACTTGATTTACGAGATAATTATATACAGTATAGTGTTGCATAACTTCGATTTGGTATCACAAATACAACTCGGTATGATTTATCTATTATCACACAATCGCCAGTCCCTGAAAAAGTCTCGTTATACCAAACATTGACTGAACGTCGAATTCAACTAACAGACAATACGTCAGAGAAACTTCTGAAACAAAATTTGTCTTAGCAACGCATAGTTTAGATTATCCATTATGTAACAAAATAAAGTAATAATTAACGACACTTTTTAACATTTTTCTATTTCCTTCCCTTCTACTAATTTACAATAAAAAACGCTCGAGGCTGCTGAGGAGTTAATGTCTAACACAATATTAATTAATACGTACCCAGGAAGTTAGATATTAATTATACCTGGAAAAATTGCATAATAATGTTACGGCCGGTAATTGTTTGGTTGGGAGAGCCAATTATATTTTTAGCATAGGTTTGTTCACCCCCAGGGACTTGGTAATTTTAGACTCAGCGGTTCACTACCCTTACTCCAGTGATATCGTTTTGACCGAATGTTTCGTCTACAAGTGACCTATTCTTATTAATTTTTGTGCGCTTTTCTTACTCCTTATCGATGTACTCCCTGTACTCGTATCCGGATAAGGGTAACCGTCAGTCCGTTTGCATGCCACTGTATGGTCCCATAATGGGTATAAATTATTAAAAACTATAATTTACGACGGAATCGAAGGGAATAATTTTTTCTATTTTCTAAGTCTCCAATCCGGTGTATTGACTAGTCAGTTTGTCTGTCACTTGTTTTCTAAACTAATTAAACAATTTATTATCGACGCGCTACAATAATTAAATAAACTTGCTTTTCGTTATTACGTAATCGCTCAGCAGACAATTTCGCAAGCCTGAATGGGCTTTAACTACTTGACCTTTTTGCCTAACGGCTATGTAGGTATTTGTTCGGTTAAATAGTTAAAAATTCAAGAGATAACGGTAGGAAGAAATTATTTTCGTGGATTAAGAACAAACAACTACAACATACACGACATAAGGGTTAACGATGGAATAAAACTTGCTAATATATCTTTTCTATCGTCGTCACTGGCGGCGCCAATTTCGAAACACTAAATTTTTTCCCAATTAGCTTTTGTACGGTGTTTTCCCGTCACCAACTTTTGTCAAAATTATTTCCTAATTGACTTTTGCACTGTCATCCCGTCACCAATTTTTGAAACATCAAAAATTATTGAAATCTAGTGTTACTATTCTAAAATTAGATCGATCATGACGAATGGGGGGACTCGGGGGAAGATTTTATCATGTGATTCACTTTACTGCGTCAGCAGATCAGCTCGCCGTAACAATAATTTTAAACTGACTAAATATGCTAATCATGTTTTTGATCTTCTTTCTTGGTTTAGGACACTCAGCATGCTCTACTCCCTTTAATCAAAAAGTAAGAGACTAAAAGATTGAGTTCTTCTTATTCGATCTGAACAAAGGTGGGTTCTACTGTTCCGGAATGTTTTACTTTCCACTAGCAGAAGTGAAAAAAAACCCATGCAATCTTTTTACTTCGTCAGCGGATGGCGGATTGTAATATTTGTGTAATTTTTTCCATATTCCACGAAACTTCAAAGGACTAATGATATACTACTCTTATGAGGCGTTAAAACTGCCTGAAGGCCCTTAATCTTGCTACATTTTTTTTGCCAATTTTATAAGTTTAAATAAACAAATGATGACATGGACAAAATCTAAACATATGCTAAATGAGATAATAACTTAATTGTTTAAAAATTCTTATAGCTTTTAGATGTGTAATGAGCAGCACTGTCATAATGTAGCAGGCAGTTACTCTTTCTTTGTATCTTCTACAAAAGGCTAATTTGATAAAACTAAGATTAGCTTGCTTTTTTCATTAAGCATACTGTTGATTTTTTCCCAAATCAAAGTTGTCTTCAAAGCTGTCTCCATTATTATTGAAAGTTTTAATCAGCTGTCGAACTGTGTGCAACGTAATAGCAATATTGGTACTTTATATCTGCAAAATTTTGTTAGATTTAGTTACATCTGTTACATTTTTTCATTCTAGCAAATATCAGATACGTGGAATAGTATTGCTTGCATAAAATTCCAGTCAGTAGTCTTGATGAACAAAACATTCCAATAATTATCTATTTCAAAACAAATCAAAATTTGGATTATTTTGAAGATCAAGACTCAAGCTTTTATTTATCAGGTTGTAAAATGAAATGCACTCACATAACCACTAAGTTGTGTATACTATTATATCTCTATTATTCTTTATCTACTCTAGTTTCATTCTTATAACAATCACCAACATAATTTGACATCATTAATTGTCTTTTGTTAATTTTTTTCCACTCCATAAAACCATAACTCGATTACAATAACCCAAAAGCCTATTCAAAGGAGCAGAAGAAAAAGCATGCTTATAAACTGTAATGATATTTCGCTGAATCTACTCTTTTGTTAATGATATTTCGCTGAATCCACTCACTCTTTTGTTTCTCAATCAAATAAATTTCAATTGCAGTGAGAATATCAAGCAGGTCAAGCGTACTAGCTCCGCTCAGAAGACTAATCTAACTCACATGTTTGCATAAAAGCTGCAGAAAGAAGCAGTTTTATTTAGGCATATTATATGAATATTGATAATATTAAGCATATTGTTGATTCATATTATATATCGTGAGAATTTACCTAAGTAAAATTTCGAAAACATCAGGCGGCACATCTTCTAAAGCCATAGCAGTCTTTTGAATCTCTTTAGATGTCTCTGAACTTCCAGTTAAGCTATTCTCAAAGAATGAGCATTGTTGTACACAATATCAGTGTATGAGACAAAAAACATTCTGTTATTTGGTTCCTTTCCAACGTGAATTGAAACGTCTGCATAGTTCCCATTTTCATAAAGCTTTTCATAGGCTGATGAGGACAAGTCAACTACGATATCCATTTCATGCAAAGGTTTAAAAGATCATCAGGATAGACAGACTTTAGTTTGAGATTTGTCGATTGTCAATTTCAACTAATAAATCCGCCGAGGCAATTGTAATTTATGTAACTTCGTATACGTTATTAGAACGTACTATACTAGTCAAAAAGAAATTTAATAATAAAAATCGTGTCGTCATGCAGAGTAAGTCGACCCCACCCCAGTTGAGGATCTATTATAGTAGAAGCATTGTTTTGATGGTTTGTCGAGATATCAGAAGTCAAAAACTTATAGTAGACTAATGGTGTCAACTATGAGCGACCTTTTTTTCCTGACAAAGATTGGGGGGAAGGTCAAGTAGTCATAATTGGTCCGTGTATTACTTACATTTGGAGATTTTGCATTGTTAAAAGTTTGCTTAAAGAGATGTTTCTGAACTTGCATCAATATTCACTAGCATTCAATATGCCTAAAAATTTAATTAACAAAATTTTCTTCGCAGGCATATTGACACGGTGCTTTGCTATTGGCAGGTGGGTGATTATATAGAAATTGATGTATTTCCCAGCTAAGAATTGCACTGCCATTTTAATGTTAAGAATTTTGACAGGGCCATGGATGCGGATTAGGGTTACACGCAACAGGATTAGCCTTTAAATATTCCTCTGCTGCCGAAAGGCAAAGAGCCTACCGCCGGAGAAAGGCCCAAGCGAAAATAGAGGCAGGTATTAATCATGTTGCATTTTGCTGACTTTTTTATTTTTTGAAAATATTTGCGTTAAACGTTCAATTGTTTAGAGCCGAGACAGAAGTAAGCTAATTATTATAATACTAAATTGCGCAAAATATTTGTAATTTAAATTTCACTTTTTTGTACTTGTAATACACATTGCGTTAATGCACGGCAACATTTTGAATAGATTGTATTTTATAAGATTGTATTTGTAAAGTTTAACTATATGTAGGAATACACTTACCATAACTCTTGACATTGTTTTAAATTCAATAATGTTGAGTATTACGTTCTGTTAGTTTCGACGGTCAAGAACTGGTAAGGTTTCTAGTTCAATTGCAGCAGCTATTTAATTTATCCAATCAATTCTATTTTAGCTGTACAACAGCTGTGAAAAAACTTTGTAATTTATAAAATACTCAATTGCTGAATGCAGAACAGCTGTAGCGGTCCACCATAGCTGTTCAAAATAAGGACCCGCTAAGTCAATTGCTGAATGCTGATATTGTCTCTCAAAAGCTGCTTTTTCCTTAATATTAACGGTCATCCATGGCTTTCTGTGATTCTTTTAGTCTTTTATAACAAAATATTAACGCTATTGTATGCCCAGTCATTGTGTGCTGGAAGCTTATCGTCCGTAATTAGTAAAAAAATTGAAAAAATTAAAAGTAGGGAAGTTCCATGAATGTTACAGTCTTTCCGGTTTCATGCTAAATACTAATCATAATTGAAATTGACATTTGGTAAAGTAATTTAGATACTATTTGACAAAATTTATACGTAAGGCTGTTTGCAGATTTCAACAATAAATGTCATTGTTACTTAAGATGATTAATTTAATAAATGTGTCATTATAATTTTTTGCAAAAAAACTATTCGTAAGTAATATTCAGTAGTTTATTATAAAAAAACAATCGTTCGAATGTCTTTCAAAACAAACTTGTTCTCAACATTGACAAGCCAGAAGTACTGCTCTACGAACTGATTTTTTACTTTCTCCTGGAACTGGTTCGCTATAAGATTTTGTGCGTAAACTTTTTAATTTAAATTTATCCTTTGCCCGGGATGTGAAATTGTGCGACGTGTGACACATCAGACAGAATAGCCAAATTCATTTGAAACTATACTCGTTTCATAATCAAAAGTGTTAAAGATATTAATAGAGTTTTTTTGCTATTATTAACTCGACCGAACAAAGTCCGTTTCCAGTAGCGATATTTACAGCACACATGTTTGTTACCCTTTACGTTTGTAGCGTAAGCATCTAACTAGCCCCCTGTATTACCGATTATGTGTTCCAGATTATTGCCAGGTTCAGTTATATGCACGATTTCCCTGCATTTTTAAATATCTGTGAGTGTTTGACATTTTCGTGAAGCTCACAGCTGTTTCATATGTTCGACTCCATGACACAAACTACTCTAGTTTGTTTGATCGTGTTGTCGACTTTGGCGTTATTGCTTTTTTTCCCCAAGCTCTACGGATTGGAAACACCTTTTGTCGAGCTCAAAACGGTGTTAGCAAAATCATGCGTTACCTGTTTATAGTTAGAGTTTATGAATTCACACTGCAAATGCTGTATTTGGTACATTTTCTATGCGTTGTTAGCGTGCTTTTCTCTGCTCGTGCATATTACCTTAATATAGTTAATGCATTAATACATTGTATGTAGACTTTTCGAGCTAATATTTGTACTCTTAGCTATACTTGTTATGCCAACAATGTTCCTCGTTTACACATTAATACCCCTGTATCAACAATATGTAATGTTACTTGTTATGCATCACCAATTTTTTGTTTCTTGGTATGTTTGATATTGCTCCGAATGGCGTAATTCATTAATCTATGTAATTGGTAATATGCCATGCAAGTAGAAAACCACAATAAACAAATCGCTCTTATCGGGGAAATCACTTAGAAATTCCTTTCTACGATAAACTCTCGGCAAAAAAAATCTATCGTCTTTACCCCTTTCTGTGTAATAATGTATTGAAATCAGTCGGAAGCATGATGTCAATCATTTCGTAAGAGTAACGATGGCTCCCTTCTTTTTTAGCCCACTAATTGACTTCTTGACTAGCTTAAGACCATGGTATCTGGAAAAGGCTTACAGAAACAAAAGGCAATTTACGTCTAGTGAACAATAAACCCATTCATGTATACATACGTTTACGACATGTTTATCGTATATACCATATACACATAAAATTCACCATATATGCATCACAATCTATAAAACGTTCTATAAGAGTATTCAAACGAAAACGAATTAGGGTTTGTGTTAATTATTCTCATATTTAAATTTCTAATGCTTCAGCCCTGGGAAAGCAATTATCTTTTGATTTCCAAATTCATCTCAACAAAGAGGAAAAGTAGGTGTTCCACTTCATTTACGCAAATATCACCTCGGTATCAACTAATAATTGTTCGCTTCGCTAAGATTTTCGTTTGTGCAGCCATCAATCAACTTTCTGACTAGTATTGTCCGCAGTAATTGTTTCAGATGATGATGAAATAAGCGTAGATCGACATTTCTCACCTAAACATTTTGGGGGGTGCTCCCCACGTTTCAAAAAAAAGGACACAAGACGTTAATCGCTTTCTTTGTTATTTGCTCAATATACGGATTTGCAATTCTTAAACCTATACATCAACTTATTTGTATTCCATGCGCTTTGATTGGTGTGAAACCAGCTAAAAATATCAAAATACTTGTACGCTCGTTAATTTAAATGGACCTATGACAGCATTGCCAAACGTCAATCTACAACAATAAAAATGCTGTAGCTCATCATACATTCTATTTTTTAGTTCATTTCATTTTAGTTGGTTGGTCATTATCACTTCACGTTCATTATTCTCCACTACCGAGCAGAAAGTATATAGGGGCCTTGTCGAAGATACAACAACGGTTTTTTTGTCACGAATAAGTGAACTGAACGAAACTCTAGCGCAATACATATTCATATAATATATATATTATATATTATATATAAGCAAAGGATTTAATTTAAAGAAAAACCAATTTACTTATCGTAAAAAGAAAACCATTACTCTTTTCTCACTCATCTATCAATATGGCATACAACGGCTCTCCAAATCTGCAAAGCTCGACCATACCCTCCAGCGCCTCTAGTAATGATGGCAGTAGCTATCCCATTAACTCACCGACTGGTCAACCTACCGACAATACGCAATACATAGTTAACGACCCGAACGTAGCATACGCTATTGGTCCTGATGGTAATCCTGACTTAAACAATCCTATATACGTCGCTGATGATGGTACCCCGGTGGTTCCGATGGCTGATAATCCTCCAATCATAATGACTCCAGCACCACCGCCACCGCAGACATTCTGGACCAAGGAAGTCTTTATTGCAATTTTTGGAATAGTAATTGTTCTAATCGGCGGTATATTGTTGGGAGTAGCAAATTCAACGGCTAAAAGTTGTGTCAAAAATTGTGAGAATCAATATCTCCTCAATTATGATTTTTATAGCAGTGATTTGGATTATTACGACTGCCTTAGCAAATGTCAGAGTCAATACAATGCTATGAGAGGTTCCGGTATTGCGCTTTTGGTTATTGGAGCGATTGTGCTACTGGGAGATGGAGCTTTCAAGTATATCTCACTCCAGCAGGTTCAACAATCAATGCAACAACCGCAAATGCAGCAAATGCAAATGCAAACGTAGAAAATTATGTTAGCTTCGTATCGCTGTCATTCATCCCTACTTACTATAATCGACATTATATAATCATCATTTTCGTTTCTAGAGGATAGTTGGAACCGTTCTTTGAAATTTCTGTTTATTGTTTTCTTGACATTTGGTTTTAAAAATTATAATGTCACTTGTTGTTCTTCACCAATAATAATAATAATAATATTATACATATACCCAAAACTTGCTGCGTTTGACAAATGATGATTTGAAGTTTCAGTGGCGTGACGTTAAAAATTGGTTTTTAAACCCCAAATACTTTGTAAGCGATCATGCAGTGTAACATAATAATAGCAAAATTTACACAATCGTCATTGCCGATCAGATACAATATGCAATTACGCAACAAACGTAAAAAAAAAAACAAAACCATTTCTCGTTAACATTGTGTTTCCAAGTCAAGTGTGCAAGAACTCGAGTGTAGTTTAGAATCGGCAATAACATGTTTATAGTAATTTGACCGGGTGTTTCCACTCGCCTTGTCATCACTGAGCTGGTTGACTATTCTAATTATGTTACATTGTCTCTTTTGTTGATCTCCCCCCTTCCCCCTTCCCCTTTTTCCTCCCTTTTTTTTACTCTCCCGCTTCTTCTCCAACCAATCTGCTGTCATCTAATATTTGCTGCATGGATTGACAACATCGCAAAGTCATACCAAGTCACCGCTGATAAAGACGTTTGTTTGCATACGATAATAATTACCATCGAATTATAATATTGGATCGTATAAACATTCATTTATCTTTGTTATTAATACTGATACATCTCCGTTTAGTGTGAGACTTTAGTCACCCCTATACTTTCCATTTCTTTTTGTTTGAAAATTACTACACTCATTTTTTACGACAAACACATTTGGTATTACAAATCCGGGTAACACAACAATACAACAACACATGCACAAATTTACTTGCAAGTGTTTGCACCTGGTTAGTCATTGTTACAATTGGCTGGAAATATCATAAGAGCAGAGCGCTGCGGCGCTAATACCGTCTGAAAATTTTGAATGTAAAATATTATTCTGACTAACTTTAAATGTCTCCAGTATTAACGCTTATTAACGTCGCTGTACCGTTGAAAAATGGAAATTATCAGGTGGGAAGCCAGCTCTTCGGAAAGTTCCATAACAGATTTACTCCGGACTTAAATGACAATTTACGTTAGTACGACTATCTATTCATTTAATTTAATCGATGAAATCATTCAAATAAAGCGACTTGTTCGTTTAACCGTATAAATTTATTGTTTTGTGAGTTGAATTTCAAACTGCTCTTGGCAAGGAACGATCAACATCCAAATATCGTAGCCTTTAAATTTACGTATGCTCACGAAAGAGTTTTGTATGGTTTTGCTAATGCAAATCAATCATCACTAGTTGTTGTTGTTGTTGTTGTTGTTGTTGTTGTTGTTGCGCTACCAACACAAAACTAAAAGTTGTTTCATTCATTGTAATCCCTTCTTCTCAATCGAACGATCATCATCTTTGTTGGACGAATCAGCCAACCCTAATCTATTGCCACACTCACACAAGTTATTAGCCACATATACTGACCAAATATGTTCTGTTATTCACAAACACAACCTACACAGAGATTACCAATATGAAGAATGCCGCGCCTCCGTCAATTGTTGATTAATTAATAATCCATCACTGCACGGCGGAAATAACCTACTGTATATGTATTGACAAGTACGTACGTTGTATGCCACATATGCTTAACTGCAGTTACATGACAATATAACGTTTGTTTCAACACCGCAACCAATTTGTTCAAAAGAGTGTTGAATGCAAATTATTGTTATATGTGTGACATTAGTATTTCCTATTATGTACAGAGTTAAACGTAAATAAACAAAAAAAAAATTTTTTTGTGGTAGCAACGATAGGCAAAGTTACTTTATTTGGTAAGCAGTGGACTGGTTACCGGTACGGGAAACGCATGGTTATTTTGATGTCCAAAACGCTTTGTTAATACTTTTTTGGTCGGAAATCATTGATCTGCATAAATGGGCTGAATTTGTGTCTGCATTAATATTAGGATCCTCATCTAAGATCGTTACACCCCCAAAATTGTCGAATGAACTGTTAGTATTTAATATTGGGTCCGCACTTTTCCGGGGAACACATGTACGACATCAAATGTACACACACACAATAGTACCATGAATATTGAATACGAGGTTACAAAGCACGAATTTATCTATCGTATTTACATCACAAATGATTGAGATTTATACAGATAACCTATTACTACATAGCTGGCGATATTAGTATACAGCGCAAATGCGTCTATATTCTTGTTAATTAGGGTGGAAGTTTGAATATTATTTATACGAATATCAGTTCACTCACGCCCATTCCAGCGGTGGGCCTTGTAAACCATAAGTCCTTCCAAGCGGAATTAATCAAACAAGGACTGACGCTCAAGTAAAAAACTTACTGGACGGAATTAAATTCAGAGTATCTCTATGCGCTTAAATACGTAGTCAAGTGCAATGGTGTTTTAATATCGGAAGAACTCTTGGACACAACAATTAATTAGTAACACATATATTGTCACGTATTCAAAAAAAAACTACAATTAAACCGGAATGGCGTTTGAGAGTTATCAGGGCCATTCTAGAGCAGATGCTTCAGAAAGGCTATCGGCTCAGTTATCAGCCGCGCAGTAACATTGGAAACGTTAATAAAAACAACGAGTCGATTACAAAAGTTGACAAAGACAGCATGCAGAATACACGCTACGCCGAATTTGTTACTTTCATATATGGAGAGTTTGGATGTAATTACAACAACGAATTTTTATTAAAAATACGTCAAATAGTATGTAAAATAATCAAAATGAACAACAGGCTAATGTCGATCTAGCGGAATTAAAAACCTTGCCTTGCTTGTTTCTATTCCTGCTTTAGTTTTAGCTTGGAATTAAAGCAATGACTGGTGTTGATGTTTCTCTTGGTGATGTTGACTTGAAAAAAAGTATAGAACATTTCAAATTAAACCATCAGGTAAATCATGGACAACTTGGAGAAATTTTAACAATTATTAAAAAAAGACTATTTGTTGAGTTACTTTAGTTTATTTCAGGCCGTGTTATACCGATAATGCATTGAAAACAAAATGTTAGTGATGTACTTTGGGTTTGGCATTTTAGACATTAACAATTCAACAGCTTATCCGGATACCACATTTTCCAACTATTTGTTAACTACATAGCATTAGATTCGTTGGATAATGCCATTACTGAATTTATCTAATTTAAACTAATTGAGATTTTATTAAAAATAATAAACTGTTTGTTACAACACTGAATGACATGGCTGGTTGTGATGAGGAACATGTACCAAAATGATGGGCATTTGTTACTATCTGAAGAATTTAAAGTTAAATTATAAATGCCTTTGAAATACTCACTTGACAAAGTAGAATAGATGAACAAAGCTTTATTAATTATATTGCGGAGAATTTTACATGCACAATTACTTGTAAAGCAATCAGTGGCTTGTATCAACTTAATTGTAAACATATTGTTATTTCTAAGGTTTTTTTACTACTTGAAAAGCCCGAGTGCCCTTACTGTAAAAACCAAATTAGAAAAAATAGAGTTTATTACTTGTCTCAACAAAAATGGTCAGTGCAGCAAACCAAGAGGGCGGTCAATATATATAATAATTTAATTGTGGAAGCAACACTGATAATATTTGAATATAACAATTTTAAAAGCAGAAGAAAAATAGTAAATAAGAAAGTTTTTATTAATCATAAAATATTGATTAGAGCCAGAAAGAAGAAAATGTAGAAAACCTTTTTTTGCCATGTCAAACATAGATATGACAATAATAACTTGCAGAGGTTTTGGAAATTATCAAATCAAATCCGCAAATTACGCGGTTATTTAAGAGTGCTACCGAATTTAGATAGCAAAAGTTCTTATTAATGTTGAAAAAAAAAACAAAGCTTGCTGTCAATCTTTGACTATAAACATCGAAGTAGTTTATGAACATGTAAACAAATTTAAGTTTTTTAGTTAAAATAGAATTCTTGTGGATAGTTGCCCTTATTGAACATTTAATGATTAGATATTTCGAACATTGCAAACTATAAAATATTGCTCGAGTCGACACACGCTTGAATTAAATACAACGAAATTAATCGTATTCTTCAGATTGTGATATTGTACACTAGTATGTATACTAGTTAATCAAACGTTATTTATAATTTATTGAATATTGCAAGTTGAAAACTTTATATTCAAGAAGATTTAAAAATTAGGACAAAGTTAACATTGTATATAAGTAGCTGCGGTGGTCTGAGACTGAGATAACTTAGTCTGAATCGAGACAATTGAGTCCTGACTTATGACTGAGATAGTCTATTGCCAATCTAGGCATAGCTGTTACTAACAATTAAGCGTATAAAACATTCCATAAAATTTTCTTATTAATAATTGTGGCCACGTTTTCTGTAAACAAACACTATCAGCACCATCAATGTCAAGTTCAATAATTTGAGCAATTGGTTTATTCCTTGAACGATAAATCTTACTCACGTCTAGCACTAACAGCAAGGGTCTAAAAATTATGAATACCGTTTATTTCCTCGACCGACAGTCACTTTTCCTGAAAATGACTTGAGAGAGAGAGAGCTTGACAAGTTATTTCGACAGTTATTTCCCGCTAATTGTTTTTAATAAATATTTCGATACAGGTTATTTATAGGCGCAAAACGTTTGATTTTTATAGTCAACCATTGATATCAACAAAACATAATTTTGGCAGAAATCGTCGGGGAATTGTCGGTAAAATAAATAATTAAATTTTGCGGCGTAAATAGACGGAAAATTTGGTAAAAAATTCTTTAAAGCAACATAAAAAGTTTTCGGTGTCTACTATTTGTTGGAGTCGTCTTTGGTACATTATGGGCCCTATACATTCATGTTCCCGTTTTTTTGTTCCCACTTCCATTTTAAGCAGGAACAAGAAATGAAATAAATACGTCAATTCTCACCTATATTGTTCCTGCAACTAAATGCGTACATGATGTGCAACTGACTAGCATCACATTTTTGGGCCTAAATTCCGAGAACAAAAGAAAATTTAATATCGTTATGTCCATGAATAATAAGTCTCTGCTGCTACTTCAACAAGCACTGTTACTTGCAGACTTTTCTAGTATTAGTAAATCTGATATCGTGTCCATTTGTTCATTTGATATCAGACCTAAATTTGGAAGATGAATAAAATCGGAATAGGAACAAAAACGTGAAATGAATAAGGCCTATATTTGAAACGACCGAAGTAAGTTGCACATTAAGTTTTCCTAAAAAAATGTGCAGTATGCTTATTGCACACAAAAACGTTTTCTAATAACTTGCATTATTACTCGCCAATCATCCATGAATTTCTTAGTCACAAATAATTTAATTACACCAACGTTGTTCAGATAAAAAGCAACAAACACCGGTGCATATTTAATTTTATAGCTAGCAGCGCTACTTTAGTTTGCTCTTGTCATTACAAAAACAACAAAAAAACAATATTGTTAATTGAATTACATTTTAGGCAATTATCTTCGGATGTTTTTCAATTTGAACAAAGCATAGCCGTGAGACTCGTTACTATATTCTTTCTTGCGTATAATTGAGAAAAAAACAACCGAACAACGGACTTTTTTCTTTTCCTCATCCTTATTCTATCTAGTTCTTTAATATGGCGAACCAGCAATGTCCGTCTCAACAATCGAATAGCGACGGCAATGACAGCAACAATCCTGAAATGGTTTCCACTGTCGAAACGACTCACAACCCCCAGACAAATTACAATCGAGATACAGTCTATCCAACCACACCTGACCGAGCTCCCACGACGCTTGTTTCAACCCCAATCGTTGAAGAAAATGAGGAAACAAGTGGATGCCAGTTTAGTTGGTCACAAGCCGGCGTGATATTACTTGTGTTGCTTATTCTGGGAGTTGTAATTGCCCTAATTACAAAGCCTGTAGGAAATAATTGCGACCAGAATTGTAACAATAATCAGTCTCCCATTACTGTTTTCTATAACTGCGTTGCCAATTGCAGTAATGCGTATCATGCCGTGGAGAAGGCTGGTATCGCACTTATGTGCGGTGGGAGTTTTCTGATTATATGCTGCTTGATTTGGAAATTCAGACCCAAATCTGAGAAAACAGCGGATAATAGTTCACAGCCAAATTGTAATTCCGATACAGTTTATCCAGTCACGTTTGCCCACGTCCCGGCGGAGTTTGTTTCGACAACGATCGTGAAGAAAAGTAAGAAAAAAAGTAGATTTCAGCGTGCTTGGTTATCGATTGGCCTAGTATTGGCTGTGCTACTTATTGGCGTGGGAGCTGTACTTTTTGTGACAGCGAAACCGACAAGAAATACTTGTGTTCAGACTTGCTACAGTAATCTGCACTATTAATTGTAATAATTCGTAGCAGGCCGGCTGGTACGCTTACTGTATATACATTGGGAGTTTTGAGAGTAAATTTGCATTATCACAATTTTTTAATCTTTTTGTTTTTTTGATAAAAACTTTAAACTGTGTAATAGTTTCAAATTTACTTGCTTAACCTCGTCAGTTGATTTGACATTATTAATTATGGGCTTGAAAAATTTTAACTAACAATTAACATATAGTTTGTTCTATTCCAAACCATTGTATAGTTAGATTAAAGACTTATTATATTGTTAAGCAAACTCTGATGGTCAATTACCTGTTATAATTCTAGATTAATGTAATTTATTCGTGAGTTATCAGCTAGCTATTATTTATATTCCGAGACATAAGCTTAATTTTAAGTTTGTAAATTTGACAGAAGAAGGTAATGTAGCACAATATATTCGATTTACTAACTCGAGCTATATTAGAAATGTATATAAAAATTTTATAACAACTTAAAATTAAATTTGCAATTTTTAGTTGGTTCAAAAATCAGTTCTTTATTAAATAAGGTAATTTGCGGGTTTGAATGCGGTTTTTTTGACAATAAAAGCAAGCTTATATAAATAAAATGTCAATTTCTGTCAATACAGTCAACTACTGTCTATAGTCACACCTTTTGGCACAATAAAAATTTCGGAAAAGTGGGGATTATAGACAGAGTGAATAATAGAAAGGGTTTTATTTATTATGTTCTACTAAACAAAATGGCAATAGAAAATTTGGGAAAGTGTGACTATAACCAGAGTTTTTATATGGTGTGACCATAGAGGAATAGGAAGGGACTATAGACAGTAGTTGACTGTATATGAGTAGTGATACTAAACACTATATATTTCCTTTGTCACATAATGTTAGCTTTTTAATAGAAATACAAAAATTGTCAGTGTTCTTTACTTTTTATATTTACTGATTAAAACTAAACAATTTATAATTTGTTGAACAAAAGTTGTTATTCAGGGAAGAACGTATTTTTATCAAAATATGCTTTTTACTCAGTGCAAAACTTCCCTGTGGCGTTGTAAATTTTGACTCTTTTCTTGTTGCGCTAATTCGGAATAGGCGATGACATTGCATTGATAACGTTTAGTATTCCCGGTGACTAATCCGATGGTTTGCGAATAGAATCCGCAATGGGACAATTTACTACTACAATCTCAAAGCAAATGGGACGTCTTGAAAGAGTTCAGAAGCGAGTATTAATGTACTTGAAAAGTAAGGAAGAACGGTCCATGTCTACGTCTCTTATATCCCGGAACTCTTCTTCAAAATATGGTAAACCAACATCGTCTTTCTGTAGGGTATTATATCCGTTGTTTTTTGTTTTTTTTTTATTACTAAATTAACTTTCTTTTGAATAGAAAAACACATCTAACGCTAGCATTATCACAGATCGTGCCGTGATGAAAAGCATCATTTTATGCTAGATATTGAAAATCTAGTGGTTGAAACAATTCAATGCTTGTACTCAAAAAAGCAGCCAAGTACAAATACAAATGTCCAAGGTGTCGAATATATAATGCAAATAAAGAAAAGCTTTGTAATAGTAAACAATGTGAGGCAATTATTAGTAGATAAGCTTGATTACAATTGGATGTAAATGAGATACGATATTTGTAAACGGCTTCAAATAATGCTACTAATATTTAGTTTTTTTATCTCAATTAAATTATTATGTTAATTATTTTTAAATTTATCATATTACGTATGCACAACTATTATCAGTCGAATAATGTATATAACACTTTATCTTTTTAACCCTGCGGTGCAATAGAGACGTTAATTCATCAATAGTAGAAGAACCTTGGAGCTCAATGTTGACGTTTGATAAAACAATTAATTGGGCTTTCTCTCATCACATTTTTTTTTCTTTTCCTTATTCATCCATTATCTTTTATCTGGTAAAAGTTTTAATTCAGTTGCTGGCTCAATTAATATTGGATGCATTCTCTTTACATCAGGCGCTGTTACAAGTCACTTCCGCAAACAAGACCAATTATTCAACTAATTAGAGTAATATGTCACGAACCTTTTTCTAATTTTTTCCCTTTTTTCTCTTTTATCATCAACTCATTTCTAATTTTTTATTTCTTTTTTTACTTGTTCCAAATTAATTTCCTTACTCGCGATTCTTCACTTAAAGCTCGGTAAACTGTAATCAAATTAACCATTGAGTGGAATAGTTGTCAAACAAAGTTGTTAGTATTATATAGTATGTGTATTTATATATCAAACGAAAATCTCTTTAATTATAATATTAAGAAGCAATCACTCTTTGAAATTCATACGCTTTCTCTTGCACGTATTTCTCAAGACCGTCTTGGCAAGGCGTATACCATGGTTTACCGATGTTCAGCGTAAAACGCGTAGTTGTTTATTTGTTTTTGAAAACAGTGTTATCAAAGTTTGTGGGCGCAAAATATAAACTTATCATTATTTTTATTATAAGAATATATATGCGAATGCATTAATATTCTGAATATTGTATCTGTTAATAGTTCCTTTCTTTTTGCGTCTGTCCCGTTCCATTAATACAAGTATAAATTTTACTTTCTTGATACGTACTTTGCCGATATAAAAGTATTGGCGAAGAGCCTGACGTGCGATGCATACCTTCGGCATAAAAGTAAATAAAGGCTATCGAACCAGTTTGCCGGTTAGCACTGTCGGGTCAGCGCCTATGATATAGCATGTAGAGTTTTCAGCTTCTACAGCATTAAAGAAATAAGGCATTTCATAAGCTATAAAACTATTTTCATTTTTATACTGTTGGTTGATTATCTCAGTTTCTCAAGCTTGGTAACACCAGCCTGTGTAACAAATAAATGATACGATTGGAGCTTAAGCCGATAACGATAAAACCTTTGTTGAGACCCATTGTAAGAAAACTGTATGAGTACAATTATACTAACTGAGGGTAAAAACTGGCTTTACCTTTTGTGACCCCGTCATGAGTCATACACTGCTGGACGTTCAATTTTTGGCAGAACAAAGAGTACGAAAGTAAGCATGTGATGTGTGCATTATTTGACTAAGAACTTGTACTTGTGTCTTGTACAAGAAGTTCAAAATTACTGAAATAGTGCAAGCTAATCGGAAGATGAGCTTTCACGCCAAGGTCATATATCTCAGTGGTTAGGTGCAAAATGTTTCAGTAAGTAAAGAGAATATGGTATGGTTAACGTTATAGTGCCATAAATAGCCATGTATGTGTAACAATATTACTCTTTCAGTCAATCTCATTTGCAGAATGCATAGAATGGGAAAGTTACTATGAACGTTGATAATACTTCAGTGTTACTTGCGCTGTATATTATACTTTCGATTATCCGATCAACGATTATCGAAATGGGTTGTACAATGGGGGTTGCCAAGCATACTTGTGTTACATACCACATCAATCTCTCAACTTAACGATGAGATGACTATCAACGTTATTTTCTCGAATAAGTATTAAGCTAGTTAAGAAAGACGAATGACACAAGCATATACATGGCATGCATATATATTATTAGCCAGTCATCCATGGATGTTTCCTGGCCTGGTGAACGTTCGATTCATAAGTGAACTATAATTTTATAACCATTGTTACATAAGATTATTCACACGGTGACACCTGACTGCAAGCATCCGGTTTTTACCTCACTTGGCAGTGCTTGGCGCTGCTTTGCCCTTATCATTTGCAAAAAAAAGAAAAGACAACACAGAGAAGCAAAGAGTACATAAAGCAACCTCACTCACATTACATTTTAACATTTACGAGCGTAACTGTGAGAATAATTAGTACAGCCTTCTTCGCTTATAGTAGAAAAGAACAAACCTGACAACAGTAATTTGTGCTTTAATTTTCTTCCTTCCTCATTTTATGCTTCCCAGTTCTTTAATATGGCGAACAATCACCCTCCGTCTTTGCGACCGAATAACGGCAACAACGTCAATAACAATCCTACACAGTCGCCACCACCGCTCTATACCAATTCTTATTACAGCTGGAATCCATCTGATTCGTCACCCAATTCACCACCACCCAATTCGCAATCCAGTTACCCATCGCCATCTTCTCCGACAATGAATAGAATTTACGGTCCTGAAACGGTTTACGATCCGACACCGTTTTACAATCCCGAGTCGCTTTACAATCCCGAAACGGCATACAATCCGGAAACAGCTTACAATCCGGAAACAGCTTACACTTCGGAAACATTTTACAATCCCAGGGTTTACAATCCCGAAACGGTTCACACTCCGGAAACTGCTTACGATTCCCAGACATTTTACACTCCTCAGGCGGTTTATAGTCCCCAAACAAACTACAATACTGATACGGGCTATCCAACCACACTTGGCCAGGCCCCCGCGACATCTTTTTCGACACCAACCGTGGAGAAAAAGAAGAAGAAGAAAAGTAGATTTCGGTGTACTTGGTTACTGGTTTACTTTATAATATCTGTGTTGACCATCGCCGCGGGAGTTGTAATGTTTGCAACGGCAAAGCCGATAGGAATTAATTGTATTAATATTTGTAAGCACGATAATCCCCATTCGCAGAAGAATTTGCTTAACTGCGTTAACGGCTGCCGTAGTACGTATCGCATTATACGGAAGATTGGTATTGCGCTTATGGTCATTGGAGGATTTCTGACTATATGCTGCTTGGTTTGGAAAGTAAGGCCCAAATCTGAGGTTAAGACTATCAAACAGTAAAGTTGTTTAAACTGTGGTTTTTTTTTGTCATCGTGAGCTTGGAAACTTTAACTGACGTTTAGTATATAGATTGTTTCTAATTGGAAGTCATATATGACCAATATTGCCTGTTAGGAATGGCTCTCAAAATTATACAGTCTATATGTGATGTAATTGTGATGGGTTATTTAGCTACTGTTATATTAGTACTAACTCAGTGAAATCCACAAGTTATTGTTTTTAAGTTTGCAGATATATAGATTATGCTGACTTTTTTGAGGTTAAGGAGATTGGATCTAATGCACATACAACCACTTATTATTATCTCACTTATTGTATTAGCATTGTACCATCAAGGCTAGTTTTTTTAAGAGAAACCTGACTGGGAAAGCTAAATATTGTACATTTGTTGAACTTGAATTGCTAGAAAATGTATATAAAAGATTTTAATGTTAAATTAAAACCTCAACTTTCAATGTTCAAGAAATTCACTCTTTATTAATCTGGGTACATGAAAATAAAATCTGCGAACGTTTGTTTCGAAGAGTTAGGCTACTTCTTCTATTTCAGTATTTGCATAAAGATTAAACACTAAAACATCTATTCCAATTATAACCAACTTACCGCGAACCGAGCAATACCATGTACTGTTCTTTTGGTCACATAATAAAAGTATAAATGACAAAGACTTGATGGCTTGTATAAATTGTTACAGAAAATGTCTCTAATACTAATTGTCAGCTGCGTCTCTCATTATGACAATAGGACTGTTTCTGTAGTGTTAATGCGTAGTAGTAGTCGTAGTGATGGCAGCTACTTAGCATACTAATACTATTTAGTTATCTATATTTCTGATTATTTCTCCAAGATTGCACATAGCCACTAATTATTTACTAGGGAAATAATTTTACATTAACTATAAACCGCGCTTCGTAGACACTTTCTCATTGACTTTTTGTAATAATTGTAAATACAGTACAGTATAAAACAATTAAATAAAAACTACAATGTTACGAATTCTTAATGTCTTATTAGTTTCGTTAACATGTTTTTAGAATTTAACTACATTTTATCATATGGAGAGTCACCGAAGATCAAAATAAAACGAGAAATGCCGTTTAAATATAAGATATCTTATACTATATTGTAAATATTATCTCGTTAATAAAAGTTAATTTTAACTTCAACGTATTAACGTTTTTGTTTCTAGTGAATTTCTATCAAGATTTCCGCGCTCGCTTCGTGTCTCTATCACTCCGATACTTTACTGAAATTTTAACATGGGTTTTCCCATTGACAAATAGTATTGTAAAATGAACAAGATTTACATTAACTTTTTTGTATTGAACGAATGTAACGAGTATATTAAACACTCGGTGTTACACATCGAATGCCGTTTGTATTAAAAACTTATAATCGTAGTCTTTCCGCTGAATACTTCTCACGTTCTCATGTCTAGTTGTCATAACTTTATAACGAAATAATTATTTATAAACTCTAGAAGTTTTCTTACATCAAAGTATCGGCGTTGAAATAAAGAACAAAGACAATAATAACAATGATACAAAATTTTAATAATAACAACGAATATAAACATTGATTACAAGTAATAAAGTCTACTCTAGAAAAGTAGTTACCTTTTAGTAGTAACCGGCTCATTTTTTTACCTAGAAAAGTTGTTTATCTAATAAAACATTAAAACTTTAAAAAAGTTGTTAAATAATGTTGTAACATTTACTGACTAAAAAACTGTTAGCTTGTTACTTGATCTAAATACGGGCGCGATCGAATAATTTTGTAGTAAATAGCAAATACGGCTGTTTACAGTTGAACGCCTGCGTGCAAACTGATTTAGTCATACACAATGCTTTGCCTACAGATAAAACAAATCTAACATCAATATATTTTTGCTGAAAATTACATAAATAAAATCTAACTTAAACCAGAGAATATGATTTTGTTTACTGCCATCATATTACTCGAACCCCTTTTTATTTTGGAGTTAGATCATGTTCTTAAACAATACATTTTTTTGATAATCCCTTTTACCAATGGAGATGTACAGGCATATCTTATGTTAGAAACAAATCAGAATAACATTTCCATTTTGAGTAGTCTTTATTCAAGATGACACTGATTTATTTCTAATTAATACGTGTAATGTACCCATTTTACCAAATTATCTCTCTCCAAACATGTATTCAAACTCACAGTATGCTAGACATGAAGGCAAACCTTATTCTACGCGTCTTTCTCAATTAATATTAATGAAGCTTATGTCACTCTCAAACCTGCAACAAGTGGATTGGTTTGCAAATTGAGAAGTAATGTTGTATGTCAGATGGAAATTTATGTCCATTCTGAATAGACATATTAATATGTCAGATGGAAAATTATGCATTTCGAATAGACATGTATGTCAGATTGGAATGGTAAATATAACCGGTAACGACATTATAAACGATTTATTGGCATTATTGATATCAACCCTACTTGTGCATAAACAACTGAGTTTGTTATAAATATATACTCTTTTAACATTTTAGCATAAGGAATAAGTAATTTATACAAATGCACATAACTTGTGAGCATTACACGTAACAAATTACTGCATTGTCGATTATGACATCATAACGTTTGGTTACCGTCATATGTAATCATATCGCAATGTAACTCTGTCAATTCCTAAAACCGCATTTACATACATTGAAAGTTCAGAAAACGGTTATTTGAAAGACATTGTATGTATTACTGTCACAAGAAGAATCATATAACACATGTGATCAAAATAATGTTTATTCTCACAAAAAACTGTACAATTCTATGCCAATGTCGAAGATTAGGAAAATAGTATAAATTCTGCTAATTATCTTCAACTACCCACAGAACGGTCCATTTAATGAGGTGTAATTGAAAGTTCGATAGTATAGTATCGACAAATTCTAAACGTCGATTTGTAAGCCGTAAATCACTCGACAAATTGTGCACATACAGACAGAAATCACAAGTCATAATTTCTTTGCTTTGAGTATAAAAGAGTCACTGGTACAGATTTTTTTTTAATTAACCAATTAATACTGATTTACACTACTGTATTATAAAGTACAAATAAAAATACTAATACAGTGTTTAGGGTAATTTTTGGTAAACAAATTCCATAAATTTAGAATCATAACTTTGCCAAAATTATGTAAATTGTTATTGATTATAATCAGTAAATCTAGCTTTATTGACAAATTTTACGTTGCGTGAACAGAGCTACCTGTTTTTGAATATTTTATACGATATAATTTCAGTCCAGCGTGGGTTTTTATTAAAAAGGTTTTTTAATTAAAAAATTGAAATTAAAGTAAGGTAATGTCTGCCGCAAGGCTATTATGTATTATCCCATTACGTGACACTACTTACTGAAATAACATCACGTATTAGTATTTAAAATTAAACAGCGCGGAAATTTTTATTCATTTATATATTTTTTAGTTGGTATTTGGAACGTGGCTATCCGTCTATATTATATTACTTTGGCATTATTATCATTGTCATTGTTCTGGTTTTAGTGTCTACATACTTTTACTTCGAACATCAATCTCCTACATATAACATGGCGTGAGTTTGAACATTAGATGCCCATGATTCTATTTTCTTTCTGTTTAATACTATATTCCTCATGTTATCCTGTATTCATATACGTAGCCAACAAAATTGTGAATAAGCCCATTTCTTATTACAATAATTGGGACTACAAACTAACTAGAAAGACTACAATCAACACTTAGGTGCGTGCCCATAGTGAAAAGCTTTTGAATGGCTGGACATTTGTGTTGACTGATGAATGGAATATAAATGCTCTTTTTTCCAACACAGACCAGCAATGTTATTGTGTTTATATAATACGTGGTATTTGTGTGTACGTATAAGAACGATCAAATGAGTGCGTTTTTGAATGGCCAGTTTAGCGGTCTACCGTAGCTGTCCCCCACCTAATCGAATAAGCACCGTATTTATATACTCACATTTAGTAACTTTCGTGTAAGAATCGGTCACACGCACAATCTTTTTAGAATTCAAGAAATGAGACGATAGGTTGAAGCATTATTCCAAATAAGTAAAAGATTCAACTCTAAATTGTGGATAAAGAATTTGTATGGTCTGTGTGCTATAATAACTCATCGACTCTTTAAAAGTTTTTTGTGGCGTACATTATGTGCCCCTGCTCTGCTAAAGTACAGCAATCAAACCCCTTAAAATGTTACAAAAGTACAATGCTTGTATGTTAGTCTCTTTACCTTGTACTACGATGCAGTATTTTGCAAGTAACACATCTTCATGCATGTTCAGTCATCTATGAATGCCTGGTGAATGTTACAATGATCCACGTAAGGATAAATTCATACGACAAAAAATGATACATAATCAGCACACCAGGTTTTTATTTTCAAAATCCAGCCTTTTGCATTTTTCTTAGAAATTTATCATTTTGTAAATTTAATTTTTTGATTCACATGGCGAACCAGCAGCTCCCACCACCAAATAGTAACAATATCGTCAACCACAACCCTATACGGTCGCCACCTCCATCATATATCAATTCCGGTTACGAAAACAGCTATGATCATACTTCCAACTGGCTTCCACCCACGTCGCAATACAGTCCCAATTATCCAACTCCGCAAGGCTCTAATTACAACCAGAATCCGCCCAATTCACCACCCAAATACCCATCGCAATACAGTCCTTATTACAACCAGAATCCGTCTAATTTACCACCTGATGATCCATCACTATATGGTCCTAATTACAACCCATCGCCTTATAACCCTAATTACGGCCGGAATCCACCCAAATTATCACACCGTTATGAGCCGGCGAGTCATTTTCCAGTAGGAAATAATAGTATTTACTATCCCGAAACGGCTTACCCAGCTGGAAACCATTCCATGATGGATGCACCCATGTCTACGCCCGGACATGTTGAGAATAGGCCTTCCACACCGCCTGCTCCGCCAGAAACTGTTAAAGTAAAATGGCGCCTAAGTAGGAGTGATAAGAAGGTGATAAAGACTTGCATATTCTCTGGCATCTTTTTCATTGCAATAGGAATTGCGCCGCTGGTTTTCGTGCCAAGAGGACAAAAACCTGTTGTAGACAACACTGCCATTTCATGTATAGGCTTTGGAGTTTTGCTGTGGGTAATCAGCGTGGTTGTTATATACAAGTCCAGACAAGAAGCGCATGCTGCTGCAAGACAGTCACAATAAATAGTAAGTTTGTGTTATTTTGTTCGTAGATTGATATTAAACTTTGTAATTAATTGAAAAGATTTAATGGTAATTAACATGTCATTTATTGTATGAAATTATTTCTAATCATAGGTTACGACAACGTTGACGTTTTCTTTGATCACGCAATAATTATTCTAACTCTTTTTTAGTGTCCTGCTGAAGAGGATTGCTTTCAAATGTGATCATTTTATTCTCAGTCAATGTTTGGAGTAGGCAAAAGATTGGTTCTGTTATTTTTACTGTAATAATTTTAATCAAGGTTTTCTATAGTAAACAATACCTTTTTTTTCCTCCAACAAAAGGACTTTGAACGTAATAGACTATGACAACTTAACAAATAAAACTTTCCTAAATTGCATGGTTTAATACAAAGAACAGTTAGCAATCTTGATAAGTTACTAGTAATATACTAAAATTGAGCCTAACACAAGAGCAATAAATAACTACATCTCGGTAAAACTGATCTGATGCCAAAAGCCAGTACCTCTTTATGTGATAACCCTTCGCTAGTAGCATATTCTAGACGTTCAAAGTCGCTACAAAAAAAAGTTCGACTTCCAGCAATTAAGTTACAATAGCTTAATTTATATTTGCCTGTTACTATGCCGCACAATTTTTGCAAATCCGTTTCCAAGCTGAATAAGAGGGGCAATTATCGCAACAGAGGGTAACGACATTAATACTATTTATATAGACGTCCATATATCAGTGTTTGTATCCGTCAGTGATAATGTCAACCAACTTTCTGTCCATATTTAGAATGTAATAATAACTAACAAATTAGTTGTGAATACCATCGTATAAATTGTCGTCATGTCAATAATTTAAATCAAATTTTTTATAAAAAATAATCGCATAGTCAAATGAAAATAATACAAATATAGTATTCCACACGAGATGGCAACCCAATCGACAGTTTATTTGTACTAGTGTTACTTTTAACACCTTTTTCCCCGGTAAATTGCAGACAAGCAATAGTCAAGTGTGCTCAGAAATAAAATACTAAGATTTTCTCCCTGTAAGCAACAAACAGCGAATTGCAGGAGAAAATTACTGATAGAAAAAAGACAAGTTTGAATAGGAGTAAAATTTTAAGTGTCATATATATCTATATGTTGCTGGACAGGTAGCAGATATTGGGCTTTGCAATAATTAACAGTGACAAAATTTGAGTAAACTGAGATATTACTATCAAAGCGTAATTGTTATGTCTCACATGCGTATTGTAGCGTTGCTTAGATATTTGCAGTATGTGCGTGTAATAAAGTTGCAATATGATATAATCTGTCCATTTGATGGCTCGGAATGATTACTGATTCTTGCGATTGATATCTTATTGTTGTGACTAGTATAGTAAGTGTTTACATTATGGCCTGAAAGCTTTTTATTACGACCAATTAATATTAGCACATAAGCATACATATCGCCAAAAGAACAATTTAAATAATTGGACAGTGTCAGCGCCTTATTAAAAGTACACGACATTATCGTATTTCAATACTTGCGTCATTTTAATCAATACTTTTTTATAACGTTGACTTTAATGTTGGAAATGTAAAGAATGTGATATTTTTTTTGGCGTACACAAAAGTAAGGTAACGAGAAGACAACCCCTTAACTATTGTCCCGATTTGAACAATATATGCAGAAGTCTAGTTTATACGTTTAAACAACCATATTATTATTTAAATAATTAATTATATTACTTGTTCATTGAGCAAGCCATATTCTGTGAAAAATACAATTATTACATTATATTTGCTAATTTGTTTGATTGCTGCATGTTAATCTGTCATTCATAAATGAACTTTCCTGGCAGTCACTTCCATATAAGGTAATTCATACTGGACAGAAATAAGAACCGATCAGCATGCGTTAGATTTTTTTTTCATTTCAATTGGTCTTATTCTGTCTCAGGTGAGGGCGCTTTGTTTCATGTCGCATTGACTTTTCTCGTTTTATTGTAAAAGAACAAGAGTATATAAAAAATTCATCATATTTACATGCAGTTCGCTTTTGTCGACTTAAATTAATGCCATGATTCTATTTTCTTTCTGTTTAATACTATATTCCTCATGTTATCCTGTATTCATATACGTAGCCAACAAAATT